CCCCCCCAAATACAATCGTAAATCTCGCTACGTGTAGGTAATTTACAATTGGCTACTTGAATCAAATACAAAATGTGACAAAAGACAAAAAGAAAAGAAAAGAAAGAAAAAAAAAGGATATTATATCTGTAACACTTTGAGAGAGAAAAAATTAAGACTATTAATGCTGCATTAACTCAGGACTCTTCCATTCTTTGTACCTGCAGCAGAAAATATAATATGATGATCTAATTGCAATATTTATTAACTTTCTGATGATGTAAAGGCGACCATTGTTATTGAAATCAAGGTCTTTTAACATAATATGGAAAAATAAAACTTTGGCTCTAATACATGAAATAGTTTTTGTTGTAATCTCTAAGTTTTTAGTTCTTTAAATGAAACACAAACGTTGAAAGATAAACTCTGTTATATATCTCCATCAACTACAACACGCACATGGCAATGTGCGGGGGCGCATTACAAACTACAGGGGCCCTCAGGGGGTGGGGTCAGGCTAAATGCTAAAGTAACTATTACAACAGTTTTGCTGTAGTGTTCACCTTCCCTGATAGCAATCAGCTCAGCTAGTCTACTTTGATAGTCAAGCATTCGTTTCCCATACCTCCAGTTGTAGTAAAAACGTATGGTGTGAATGTTCCCTGTTCAATGTCCAGCACTCGTTTTTAGTACATTCGTTTCTTCTCGTTCTCATGTAGGCGAAAGAATTGTTGGGGATGAAGGTATTTGTAAGATTCTGCATTGAGGTAGCAAAGCCGAACATTCAAGAATGAAGACCTTTGTCTTTCCCAGAACCCACGCGCGTGGATATATAGACGTGCGTCTAAGGCTTTATTGGACCCTCGATTCAATTCTTCTCCAGTGATCAGGTGAGTAGGACAGGTTGAAATTCGACATCGTTACATACCATATTCAACAATTCAGTGAAGGATTCACCACATACACAAATAGAAGGGTTGCGATCAATATGCCAATCATAGCGCAGTTTCATAGCATTTCTTGTTTAAGTCGAAATCCATCTCTTTGATTTGGAATACTGTCAACCAAGTCTATGCTCCATTTTCTGTGGCCATTTCTAAAGCCCTTGATGTTGTACAACCATCGATGTTTCAAGTAAAAAGTAAAAGCTGCGTAGCATACTGCAAATTCAGCTAACTTGGTCTTTTCTTCTATCCCAACCTCTACTTTTCCGCTAACATACTCTTCTAGGTGGGATCTTGATCCTAACAATGCCCCCAGATGTATTTGCCCTTGTGTCGTGACATTAATAGCCGTTCCCTTAAATGCATCTCTTGCCTTTTCTTCTTTTTCAGGCTTAACGATAAGTCAGCATTTCTTGTCATTAGGGAAGTAACCCCAAGTCTGGTCCAGCCATAGTCATTGTACGTGTCCCACTATTTTTTTAAATTTTGTTGAGGATCCAGCTCCACTAGCATCGTCTGCAAACCAGTATTGCTTTATTTTGCTTGTGAGCTGCAAGCATGTAATCAACGGCTGAGGACTGAGGGCATATAAACCCATAGCAAGTGGGTCACTTTGTGTGGTTTTCTCTGCAGAAGATAGTTATTTTTCCATCTACGATGAATGACCGTTCTGGTTATCTATAGGTATATATAGAGTAAACTGCAATTTTTGGAAAAAGAACTCTGACATTGTGTAAAGAAGCAGCTCTGTTCAGTGAATTAAAAGCATTAGAGGCGTCGATAAGCATAACAGTGCCTGTTTTATCCGCTTCAAATACATAATGCATTTCATTGATTGCAGCTTCACTTCCAGACCAGCACAAACCTTCACTTCTGACCAGCACAAACTTGCAGCGAATCAATAGCATCAATCATATTTTGCTTTACCACCTTCATCATACACTTTGGAATTAAACGACTTGCCAACAAAGGTTCAACAGAGAGAGGATCGACGTATTCAGAGCATATTTTCCTTGTAAGTGTAGCTAATGCATCACAAAGGCGTGTGGATGACTGTTTGAAGAATTTGCAAGCAAGGATTCTTTTGAAACTAAGTGCATCGATTCCCGACGGAGCACCTGATCCTTTTGTTCTCAGGACAGCCTATCTAATCATTTCACCATTTATTTCGAGATATATCAATCGATTCTGGAATATCATCAACTAGTCCAAACAGAAATATCCCTAGTTTGGCTTCCTGGGGATTTGGATGTTTCTGTTCAAGTTGCATAACGACGTCATCTGTTAATGGAAGGGCGCCTCCACAGGCGGCATCGCTCAGGAAACGTAACGCTGAGTTGATTCGCCCTTCCATAACAAGTTTAGCAAAAATCTTAGCTCTGTTTGGAATATCCGACTTTTTGAATTTCCTAAGGCAATTTTGAATCATTCGTCCCTCACGTAGCAGTTTGTCAATTTCCGTTTCTTTCCAAAGCACTAATGGCGCTTCGTCAGACAATCTTGATGGTCTTTATAAGCCCTATTATCCGTTTTTATCCGGGGTTTGATATCGTGAGCATGTCGCAGCTTTTGTTTGGCTAACAGACAAAATATAGTAAAAATGGTTTTCCTTGAAATCGTGATCGACCTTGCATCATCTGCAAATTGATGACTGAATCGCTGAAAAGCACTGCAAAATGCAGCATTTTTTAATGCTTGAAATCTACTTAAATCGTAAAACCGAATTCGTGACATTCACCTGAAGTCCGCAAAGGCTGTCCTGGGATTCATAATTCGATTTCCGACGCTCTGTCCCGTTTTAATTGACAGGAATTCAGGCGGGTAGCTCCATTTACAGCATCCCACCCCAGTTCCTCCGCAGTTGATTGCAGGGTTAACCAGTCCGTATTTGAACGTAAGTGCCAAGAATTGTTATTTAGTGGTCTGGCTCCCAATACTCGCCGCAAGTATGCCTCTGCTCAACGTAAGTTTATTGATTTCTGTCATCAATTGGGTACAGCACCGTGTGCTGCGGAGGAGAGAACATTGTGTTTATTCATTACATGTTTGTCGCAATCGATTCAGCATCGATCCATCAAAGTATACCTGTCTGCTGTCCGTTCCACATCGAACTCGGCTTCTCAGATCCTTTGACAAATTGTCGTAGGTTACAACAGGTTTTCCGTGGCATTAAACGCACACAAGCTACCTTATCAACTCAACGTCTTTCAATTACCCATTTCCTGATGCTAACCATATTCGAAGCACTAAATCTTACTATGTTCGTTCACACCATGTTTTGGGCTGCATGCACTTTGGCGTACTTTGTGTTATTGAAATCTGCAGAATTCACTGTGACTAATGTAGCAAATTTCAACCCCGCCATATGTTTACAAATATCGGATTTGGCGTTCGACGTCTTGGCACGCCCTTCATGTCTTCGCGTGTGGATTAAGGCGTCAAAGACAGATCCCTTCCGCAAAGGCTGTCATGTTCATACTGGGTGTGGTTCCACACCACTTTGCGCGGTATCTGCTACGTCGTCGTATTTAAACAAGAGAGGTGGTGGTCCAGGTCCTTTATTTCTGTTGCAAATGGTCAAGCACTTTCCAGAGACGTATTGTAATCCGGGCTAAAAAGTATTCTTGGTGGCGCAGGAATCCCGGGTAATTTCAGTAGATATGAAGTGCCGGTTCTGCATCAATCAATTGAGGTTCCAGTGAGGTTCCAGTTCTACGCCAGGTGGATCGTGGATCAGGGTGGATCGTGGATCAGGGTGGATCGTGGATCAGGGTGGATCGTGGATCAACCCCCCCCCCCCCCCCAGGGTCCTTACAGAGGTGACGTCATGGCTATTCTTAGTACTCCGTGTTTTTAGTTGGCT